AGCCCTTGTGTGTGTTGCTATGGCAATCCATGTCAGGGTCACTACAAAGTAAAGAGATCATCAAGTTGTAAACCTATCAGACCTTCCATTGTGAATCTACATGAGTTTATATGCCTCAACCCCCAGACGGCCAGCCTTTATTTTTAGTTTGGGGTGTCTAACTTTATATATCAATTTCACCACTTTTGCAGTAAAATATTTGTATACAACAATCCATTTCATGTATGGGAGGCCTTAGAGATGAGGAAAAAGTAAGTTGTGTTTTGTCCTAACTCCGGGAGGGGTATCTCAAAAATGTTGGGGCCATTGTCACTAGCCTAATGAATGCATCTCTGAATGGAGGGAGGAACCGTTATCACTGCAGCCTGAAGAACATGCCTGGGTAACATCAGGATCGACCTGACATGAGGTTTAAATTCACACCCTCCATAATGGCCCCCAGATGCTTATAAAAAGATAGTTATGATCAACTTAAACCTCAGTTAGAAAATTAAGTGATGGACATAAGAAGTTGGGAAATACATCAATTTTTCCCTTAGTTACACATTTAGTTTACAGACCAAGACAGTGTTTAACATTTTACAACAAACTGTTGTCCAAGTTCACCACTTCTTGCAACATTGCCTTGTGTCTATGTCCTGGGGGTGTTGTAGGTAGGTAGGTGGGTAGGTTGGCATACCTGCCAACCCTACCGATTTGGGCGGTCTACCGCTTTTGACATGTTTCTACCGCCTACCGACTTAGCTGGCTTTCCCTACCAATTTGCAATCTTCCCAAACTATAGCAAATAAAAATGACACTACATAGACACTGGACTCGACTTTTGGCGGACACCGTTCGCAGCGTGTCTGTGATCGCATCATACAAACAGTGTTTCTGAAAGAGAAACAACGTGGTAACCGGGGTAACGCTGCCTTTCCTCTGCACCCCCGGGGCTGATGGGTGATTTGGGAGTGATTACTCCCAAATGAGTTTAGGGAACAGAGCTATACATCCATGGAACAGTCTATGCATGGAACAGAGACGAGGCATTTGAGTCCTGCAGGATTTCCCCGTTAATATCAGTGTCTCGAAAACACATGTTGGCGACTGAAAGACATCCAGTGTTTGGTTTGGTCTTTTCCTGAAGCATCCTTCACCTACAGTGTCTCAACTGAAAGAGGACCACAAACACAAAATATAATACAATTTTGAGATATTTATATCCCATTCTTTCACTTTTGCTGACATTTTCAACACCAAACATATCGTTAATGTCTCTGTTTAGTGAACTACAGCAATCTGAAAGCCTGTACATTATTTATATCACACTTTAGCAGTAGAAAAATGCAGGAAATAACTTTTTTTAATGCAGTATTTTCTGATTCATGGCGCAACACAAAGATATTTCGCTTTGTCTAACTTTTATCCATGTATTTTTTCTTTTAATGTTTATTTTATTAGCTTTTCTTTTTAATGACTGATTTTAAATACCATTTTCTTAATGTCTTTCATTTTTGTAAAGCACTTTGAATTGCCTTGTGTTGAAAAGTGCTATATAAATAAACTTGCCTTGCCTTGCCTTGTGCAAATCTTTGACTCTAATATGTCAACAACATGAAACCAGAATATGAACCTGGCTTTATCCAATGTTCACACAAGAGTTCTACATCCTGACACATCCTTCATCTACACTGTCTCAACTCTGAAAGAGGACGAGAAACACATTAAACATATAATAAAATGTTGAGACTGGGATATTTATCTCCCATTCTTTTACTTTTCGGGCATTTTACAGACCAGACATGTCGTTGATGTCACTGTTTACCAAACTACCACTTTTTCTGAAAAATGCATAAAATTATGCAATATATGTTAAATACATGGTTTATAGCTACATGTAATTACTGGGGTTCCATTTCTTCTGATTACCTAATTTGGGCGTGCACATTTGCCGCGCAAAGAAACAGAATAAAACAAACCCTATTCTCCAACATTTATCATACTTTGTAGACGTCCGTGTGAGAAGAGATGGTCATTTGTGAGTCTTCTGTGTCTTCTTACACATTACATTACATGTCATTTAACTGGCGCAAACCTACCTCTTTTGGATTTGGAAAGGTTGGCATGTATGGGTCCTTTATCTCCTTTTAAATCTCTAATTTAATATAAATAATAATATTTAAACACACCACCCGGCCACATTAGTTTTATTATACACAAATGGTCAAACGGTTCTGTCAAGTAAACTAAATGTAGGGTTAGGGTAAGCTAACGTTAGCTCTCTTAGCTAGAAAACAATTAGCCTACTATTTTCCACCAATTGTTTAAATTTAGATAGTTGGACTTATAACTAAATACATAAACACATGTATACACTTTTATTTGACACAATTAAGAGCCAAGCTAGTTTTTTTTATACCGGCTTTGAGTTTTACAAACACATTTCAAAAACAGCCATACCATTCTGGTTAAAACAAATGCTACGATGTATTTGCTCCGGACCCTAACATATACAAAGACTGCTTACGACAGTGTGTACGTCTGAATTCATAACAGCCGTCATACACATCTCGTATTTAAACACAGCTTTAGATGGAGGGCCGGTGGTGACCTGTTCTGTGAGCCAAACACGAAACACTCCTTTACTGATAGTCTGGAGCAGACCTGGAGCTGGTTGAGATGGACGAGCTGCAGTCAGATAATGGCTTTTAAACAAATACGTTCCCGAGGTCTGGAGCGTCTGGAAGACACTACGCAGGGAGGACAAGCTGGACGTGAAACCACAACATCTTCACATTACAAAAGGAGAAGATGGAGCATTTAGGCTTTCCTGGAACATAGGGTCCTACTCAACAGCACATGATCTAATCTTATTTTATATACACAGTGGAAAATGTGTGATATAATAATGTGATATGATTAATTTAAAGTCCAAAACAGAATATAGCTGTCAAAGGAGTTCAAAGATTGTTTGTCAAGCTAGCTAACGTAAGCTAAAACACGGCTCCAGCTATATTGGCTTACACTTATTTCATTGACTGTGGCACACTTTTTCTTTCTTTTTTTTAGGATTTCCGTTTCTTTAAGCCATTTATCCTCCCCACATTAACATTTTTGCTCCTTTTAACCATTCCTTTTTAAAATTGTGAACCTCACACTTCAATTTGACGCTTCAACTTAGTATTTTTCGATATTGAGAAACTGAGCTGTAAACCCCCATTTAAAAAAACAAAAACATAAATGATTTACCAATTTAAAAATGATTACACTTTTTACAATGTCACCTAACTGAGTCCCTTCTTCATAATGTTTCCGTTAGTCTCTCTGCAAAGTGTGAAACAGATGTGTTTTTAATGGGTTTGTCTCCGGCCTTCTCTTCCTCCAGACATGTTTACCTTGGCACTGGCACCTGTCTCTTTCTGCACAACCAATTTGTTTGGCATCTGTTTTCCCTGACAATGAGCTGTGATTTAATAGATCAGGCAGTGGCCATGTGAGTCTAAATGTGATAATCCAAAAGGCCACTCCTCGCCTTTGTGTTCGTCAGCACGGTGACCTTTGAGGCCAAACACGGCTGTGACAGATGAGGAAAAGATCATGCTGCCAAGTGTTTCTATCCCCTGGCCCAGCTGCATGCAACAATGCTACTCAAACACTGAGTTTAGTCCATACAATAAAACATGTAGTGACTACAGAAATACACTTGATTCTGTGCATCATCTTCTAACTATATGCCACCATACTCAACTATTTTTACAACGCCTTGAAGAAGTACACAAACATGTTTGTGCGTGCAAGTGTTTTACGGCCTGCCTGTCCCGGTGAGTTATGCATGGACACTAATGGCGCGTTTCCACTGCAGCGGGTAGCTCGCTTTAAGCGTGCCGAGCCGTGCGGGGCCCGTTTTTGGTTGTGTTTCCACTTGGCCTAGTTTTGGCCCGGGGCTACTTTTTCACCTTTTTTCTGGCCCGACTAAATCGTGGTTCTCGGGCCAGGAACAACCAGGCTGAGTCGACTGTATTCACCATGACACAGGCAGTCTGTGGTTTGTACTTGTTTAACTTTTGTCTAGTTTCTGAACAGATATGAGGAGCTGTGAGCTCTGAGTGCTAAGAGCTAACGGCTGTGTTGTTTTTCTGGGGCTCTCATCGAAGATGACGTCACGGCTCCGCCTACACTGCGTTACTATAGTAACTGCCCCAGTTCCTAAACTGTAATGGAAGCGCAGCATTAAAGTGAGCCGGGCCTAATAAGGCCTAACCAAACCGAGCGAGGCCTGCAGTGGAAACGCGCCATTAGACACATACAATGCGTGAGCGGAGGATCCAGGTACGAGGAAGAAGCACAGGATACTGATTCCCGGTTGTTTTTCCTCATATAGCTGAGAGGAGAACAAAAACAGAACGGTAGAGTTAGAGGAACAGAGCAGGTTTTGGCCTTGAAAAAATAGTTTTTATAAAGTATGAATATGAAGGAGGGCAGTTTGAACCCTGACTGAATCACGTTTCCTCTCTGCTAACTGTGGTCTTCATCAGGGAGAGGGTAACCAATCACATTTCAGTGCATCACTGCAGAGCTAAAGTGCATAATGTTGTAAGATTTCCTTTAACAAGCAGAGATATGTTAGCAAACACTTAGTCACACATATACACTGGTGAGCAGCTGCTTCGCCTGTGTAAAAGCAGAAAGTGAAGCAGCTGATGTATTTTCTGATTGTGGGAAATACAGGGTATTTTTTGCACGATCAACATCTACGTGGTAATAGAAAGTGTAATCATCTCTGCTGAGGTTTTGGGAAACTTCCTTAAGAGTCCTGTCTCCTGACTTCTGTTACTCATATCTGATAAAACAGATAACGCAGTCTGAGTTACAACTGATTCAAATTATAGTCCAAACAAGAAAAGAGCCCACTTGAAATGAGATTTTTTTCTCAGTCCCTCCACATGTCACCATAAAGGGACCACTTTAGTTTGAACTCACTGCAGAGACTGAAACATACACAAGTATAAACAGTGATATTCATAGTAGAGAATTAACATACCCAGAAGAAAGGATATGATTTATTAGTTTTGTATTTACACTTGCATCCAAACTTGGTGAGTTATGGTGAGAGCTGGAAGACCACACACATTAAACAAACTCCAATTAAGGAAGAAATTATATTGGAAATTCCTCTTTTCTGTCTCATGTTTTATCTGTAAAGTCATACAATAAAAGCGGTGTCAAAGGGAAAGCACACTGTAATGTATCACTCTTCAATCTCTGTTTAGTCTCTCAAACTGTGGAACAAGAGGATACTTAAGAAAGAGACAATGACCAATCCGATTTGAAGCGTTTTTCTCTCTCAGTGAGGCTTATTTTAAACATTTTCCAATCAAGCACAACTGATGGGAACTGAAGAAAACATATTTTGGTTGTTGCAATCCTACTGAAGCAGGTGAGATCATTGCTGAGAACACTTCAAAATCCTGAGGGGAAGGGAAGAAAAAGTCTGATTATGAAATGTCTGCTGTTTCTCCTGAAATATTTCCTCTCTTCTTCTTTTCTTCCTCCCTTTAGCGATCGGGTCTTTGGAGGCAGAACACTTTCGACTGGTTGTCTCCAGAAGCAGTGACGGCGAAAGTCCCTTCCCTGAGGGAGAAATAAACAAAAACAACAGTAAATAATCATAATTTAGTGATTAAAAACGGTATATTGACATTAAGAGGAGACGTCACCTGTTGATGGCGAAGTTGAGGATCTCTGCGCTGTGGCCGTGATACTCCGCCATGATGCTGCCGGTTCGAGCGTCCCACAGGCGCAGCGCACCGTCTAAGCAGCAGGTGGACACCACAGAAGAAGAGTCCTCCCACTGCAGGTGAACGATGCCGGCCTGGAGGACCACAGGGAGGAAATTCAGCATAAAAACTGGTTAGTGGAGCTAATAAAACTGTTTTACTAGAGCAGGTAGGGTATGTTAAGAAGATAATCAACCAGCATCCTATGTGTTATTACTATAGCATGGTCCGCTAATTAAATAACTTCCTGCTGTGCGTTACCTCATGTTGGCAGCGGTGCCTCATGACCTGAGAGGAGAGATCGTACACGCCCAGAGTCCCGTCCAGATACGCCACGGCGACCAGAGGCAGGCTGCAACACACCAGAGGTCAGACACTAGTACAGGCAAAACAGGGTTTTATATGTATTCATTATTTCTCTACCCTAACATACATATCTTTAAGGCTGTTTTCTAAACATGTGAAGTCTCCTAACATCAGGCTGCTGGAGGGTTTTACACTCTTCACTACTCACACGTTGCAGAATCCCACAGATTCGATGGAGTTTGGTTCCTCGTCATGTTGTGATGGTTTGACCTTGCCTACGTCCAGCGAGTACTGTCCGACCACCTTTACACACACACACACACATATTGGAAGAACAAAGTGTGTGAGTTTTCCCTGCGTTGCAGTTCTACAAACAACAGTATTGTTTTGGCACCCACCTTTCCTGTGGCGGTGTTGATGAGCTTGGCGAATCCGTCCACTGAGCCCGTCAGCACCAGAGAGCCGTCCTTGTTGCAGGACAGGCAGGTGAGCGCCCCCCGGTGGCCGTCGTGACCTGTTATAAAAGGGAAAAAACTGTTATAGTCAGCAGCACAGACACTCAGATATATGGAGAACACATTTTCTTGGTTTTATATTTAAATATTTGAAAAACAACTAAAAGCCAGAAATACAAAAAGGTACCAGCAGGAAGAAGCTTGACTCACCTTTAATGACGTGAGCTGCATTTCCCTGCTTCAGATCCCACACACGTACCGTGCCGTCCTCATAACCCACCACCGCCCGTTTACCTGCAATAAAAAAGAAGATATGATTTAGCTTTTTTACACCGAGACATATCCTCAGCGTCTTGTTGTCCCGTCTCTCACCGTCGGGCAGCACTTTCCCGCAGGTGGCCTGGCTGGCAGCGCTCTGGAAGGTTTTACACTCTCCTGACGGGATCTTCCACATCCACATGTTGCCGTCGTCTGTTCCCGCCAGCAGCACCGCGGCACAGGGATGCCACTCCAACCACTGAGTGGGAAGCAGAGCAGACACAGTATTTCACTTGTGGCTGATGAGCAGATCTTATAAATATCCTGCGTAGTGTGCCTTGCTCTGCAGTTGAAGGAGGAGAGAATGTCTGATCTGATCGTTCCCTTCCTCCTATGTGGTCCCCCTCTCCCCATAAATTCCTCAAGGGCCAATAAAAATGCACGAACTAAACACCGAGGCTCGTACCTCCAGATCTGCCACTTCGAAGGACCAGATCTCCTCTTTGGTTTCTATGTTCCACACTTTAATCAAACCGCCCATGTCCCCCGAAGCCACCATGGAGGAGTCGTGGCTGAACACGGCGCACGTCACCGAGTCCTTGTGACCTGTGGAAACAAAGGGCAACGATGACTTCATTACTGAAATACACAAACATAACATAGTTTAAATATGATATAGAGTGCATGAACAGATGCAGCTTTGTCTTAAGAGTCTTGTATCTTTATTCTCAGTGTAGCTATCAATCATATTAGTTGTGATCGCAGCCCTCAGACACTCACCCGTGCACTCCAGCAGAACTTCTCCGTCGCTCACCCTCCAGACGTACGCCTTGTCGTCCTCTCCTCCTGTGACGGCCATGCTGTTGGTCGCAGGATCCAAACTCACACAGAACACTGAGCCTGGACAGAGGAAGGGCAGCGGAGAGTCATTTTAGAAGTTGAACATACAGAATATGCCTGATGATAAATAAAATCGAGGCAAGACGCTACCTTTGTGTTTGGAGAAGGTGAGCTCGCTGTCGTCCTGCTCCGCCTCCATCTCGTCCTCCGTCTCCCAGCCTTCGTCATCACCTTCGTTTCCGGCGTCTTCAAAGTCAATGTCCTCCAAGTCATCAGCCAAATCATCTAAGTAAGAGAAAGAAAGTAAGTTAAGATGGAAAACGTCAAAACAAATTCAGAACCACCCCACCCAAATTATTATTTTTGGACATTGTAAACCAATAAGATGGCAGTGTAAGAACTATGGACATTAACACCCTTACTCACAGGACAGTAGGTATTACAAAAATACATAGAAGACGAGAAAATACATATATATATATTAATCTACTAAAAAGTCATTACAATAAATTAAAGTTGTTTAAAAGAAAAATATATTAAAAAAATTAAAGTAGCATCATGTCCACAAGCAGTGATTTGAAAAAATAATAATGTCTGCTAAGCATATATAGTATTAATAACAACAATGGTGGCATCGTTTTCCTATACAATAATATAGTTACAAATGTGATAATGCAAGTGGGAGTGAATTAGCTGCTAAAAGAATATTGATAAAGTAAAATAGATAGAACTGATCTTCAAATACCAGTTGAAAAATCAACTTGTCACTGGTTGTCAGAGGAACACGTCGCTTAAAGGGGATTATTTTACAGTTGTTTACCATTTTTAACTGACCTGGTTCAGGATCCATGTCGTTGAGGTCGATGACTTCAATAATTTCCTCATCTCCGTAGAGATCAATAGTATCTCCCTGCGTGTTGTTATCCATGCTGTTAGCGAGCTAAAAGCTAGCAAAACACCTGGAAAGTAAAGACTCAAACTAACCTGACTTCAGGCTACCTCTCTATGATAGCTGGTTAAAAAGTCCTTAAACGCGTAAAGTCCACACTTTCACTCACAAATACTCGCTGTTATGTGAATTTAAAGTAACCAGGAGTTAAATATCAAACTGGATACCCATGGTTTCTTCACATGCTGCGGTGACTGGAGACAGACGCAGGATGATGACGTATGACGCAGTTTACCTCGGTGTCCACAGGATGGCGCTGTTGTCTACAAACAAAATCAAAACATGGTAAAAAAAACTGCAAAACAATACTCGTTCAAAATGTTTTTTTTCATAGCTGGAACTTATTTCTAAAGATGATTCGACCCCTTATTGTGTTATTTCTCCTCATAAACATTAACACTAAAATAATCTGTTTTTATATTTGTATAATACTTTTGAAATATATCATAATAGCCATAAGTTATGAAACAGGTTTAAAAAGCAGGTTTTATTATATATAATTTATTTATTTATTCGGTTTATTTGGTTTCTATGCTTTAGTGAAGTTTGCACAAAAATGTATAAATGACAATAGAGCATTTATTTAAAGTTTAAAGGCTGAAGCTTAAGTGTATTGTCCCTATCATATTTAAATAGCCTAGCATATTCTAATAAACATTTATAACACAAATAAAAGCATACCTTTATCTTTGTTTACCAGATAATTTACAATTTTCAATTTAATAATCAGCATCTTGCATGCACCAGATTGGCCTTTTTTATGATATTTATAGTTCCTATTTTGTGCTGAGTATTCTCTCCAGAAGCAGTGCAGGAAGTAAAAGTCATTGCATGTGCAGAAAACACTTGGTCTTAAAATATCACTATGAAGTGTTCCTCATTGTGTAGTAGTCATATTGTGTCCCTTTCAGTTTGACTTTTTGGTACATACATGTGAAGGTATTTAGCTTCTTTTATCATGGTTTCGGCAGCTGGACAGTCAGGTCATGGATATATTAAGGAAAGTGTCAAGACCCCCTCTGGCCTTACCCTTATAAAATGTCACTCAAAGGGACACGTACCAAACAGTAGGAGACTCAAAATAGTTATATAGAAACGATAAACAACTATACAAAGATATTTAAAACTACAACAGAGACACAAAACAACCTCAAAGAGTCATAAAAAAGACCACAATGAGACAAAAGTGGCCAAAACAAGGCACACAACAACCGAGGTATTTAAGGACGGCAAAGAGCACAAAACAACAAACAAACAAGGCAAAAGCATCCCAAAGCGTGTCTTCCCCTGATAGGAAAGATGATGGATCTCTGCACACAGGGGCTCACTGTCTCACAATCCGTCTATAAGTCAGGTGGCAGAGTTTAGAGAGATTGTGGAGAGTAAATCTGTCAAAAACTGTGGATTTGGAAAAGTGAGAGTGATATCTCCCAGATCTCCTCGGTGAAATCTCACCAGATGACAAACTTCTCTTAAAGTTGACATTCAGAGATATTTGTGAGGCTGCAGTAAACCACAGGAATAACATTAGAAGCAGAGGGGCTCTCCATTTCAAAACAGTCTCCCCCTCTCTTCTTCAATCCCTCCATCAACAGTTCCCTGGCCTCAGGGATTTTATGATCACTTAACACAGTTTGTCAACTTCAGGTTTTTGGGGTTTTATGTCTCTCGCTATATAGGCTGCTGGCAGGGCTCACGCACTGCATGCCCAAATACGTTTTACTGCCTCTCCAGTGCGAGCGTTCCCTGGAAAAATACAACCGTCTCATGCTGTGGTGAGATGTGGAAACATCAGGGTGTACATTATTTAGATGTTTTCAATCTGCAGTGAGTGAGAGGTTTATAAACTCTCAGTGGAAGAGGACGGTGGATTTCAAGCTGGAAAGTTACATGATATGAGTTACAATACAGACATTAGGACTTTATTCAGCTACTGTTTACATCATTTAAAAGCCTCTCACAGTGGTATATCAATTTGGTAATATTCAAGAGGACATATAAATCACATTTTGAGGTTCATATTAATATTTTTAACCTCTACTGTGACATGTTTTCATGCCTTAATGTTCAAAAAGGTCTTTATTTTTCTCATACTGCCTGTGCTCCAGCACCTCTTTTCACCCTCTGTCTGAAACCAGAGCCCAGTCTGCTCTGATTGGGTAAAAGGAGGGCTTTGTTGTGATTGGTCAACCTCTTAGAGATGTTCCACCCCTTATGATATCACGTACAAGAACAATCTAATTTCCACAACATTAGTGAATAAGCTGCAGCAAACACAGGCTTATTCATGCAGGAGAATATACTGTGTTTTGTCAGGAGGAACAGGAAGTACCATAAATGCAGCACAGATCATGAGATGGTTTCGACCCCTGGAAACATGTCAATCATTCCCCGAGCAACCAAACATCAATCATGGGCTGAGAGGAGTATAAAGTCTGAGTACTTCTTCCAAAACTCAACAGCAACTTAGAAATGATGCCTGAACTGCAGGATCGTTCAGCACTGGTGGAGGTTTTCTTGCTCTAAATGCTTTCCCCTTTGTTTTTTTGACTGTTTTCACCCAGACACAGTGTAGCAGCTCATTGGGTGGGCTTCCAGGAGCGACCCGTCATAAAAACATTTCTCAGTTTATCACTCCTGCAAGCTGGTTAATGTCTGTAAAAGCAGGATACTTTATAGGCACGCACACATGGAAACACACTGCCTGCCCAGGACATGGAGGCATACACACACACACACACACACACACACACACACACACACACACACACACACACACACACACACACACACACACACACACACACACACACACACACACACACACACACACACACGTATCAGTAGCCTGGGAGCTGTTTCTGTGTGCGAGGTAATTACTCCATGCAGCTCAGCGAGGCTTTGATGGAAAGTTTTAGACTAACTGTAAGAAGTCTTTTTTACCAAGGCTCCTTTTCTCTCTTAAACGCCGCCTTTTCATGGCATCCTGGAAAGATTTAAGTCTAATTTTTAAATATTACATGAAAGAAAATGGTTCTTTGAGGTGTTTCAATGTGTTTTCTCTCCTTCTTGCTGGCGAGGCTTCTTCATAGAGCTGAGGTCGTCTGCCCTGCTTTGTCTGCCCGCTGCGCCTGACTCATGTGGGAGCGCTGGGTGACAGGACGGCTTCCCTTCTCAAACCACTAACAGCCGGTTGTGTGTGTACTGCAAGTGGTCTGGTCCACAGCGAGTGTGTGATGTGTCTGCCGTGGTAGCAGAGCGGTAGTCTGAGCAGGCCGCTCGCCTGTTGACTTTCTATCCCCATTTCTGCTCCTTTTTCCAGCCACTGGCCAAAAACATGGGAGTATTTTTGGAACATCTCGCCTCAGGTGTTTCAAGCCAGAGCCATGTAGGGTTCTTCGGTACAGATGATTTTAAACCTGAAGGGATGATGGTGACTCACCTCGATGCAAAAGAGTTCAACTCACATAATCAAGTGCTTTGGAAAACAGAGTGTGATGTTCACTGAATTGCAAATGTGCTGCTCCGGGCAATATAAACCAATCTCTGCTTTGACATCACTGCTCTGGACACACTCACACACATGCACGTATACACACATTTGAGCGGTTTATGCACGTCAGCAAAAGCCCCTGGACAAAAAATACAGATGTCCAAGACTGATTTGTGCTCAGATAATTATAAACTTTGTGCTTCTCTGTCATAATGCATTTCAGGATTAAAAGATTGTGCAAGTTTATCTGTAAATAATCTCAGTTAACATAAATATTGCATTATTTAAAACTGTTTTCTAGTCCAGATTCAAATATCTCAACAACTTTTGCATGGATGGATGTATAAGCATTTCAATTACTTGATCTTTTTAAGAAACCAATGATTGACTTTTATTAGATTGCTAACATGTGAGACAAGCTATAGCTAGGCTAATATCAACATGTTAGCATTGAGTGTTTAGCATGACGTTAGCGTTCAGTTTCAACGCTAGTCATGTTGTTCATAAACCTTAGCTAATTGTATATATATTTTAATATTTTGTAGCAGGTTTGGTTATAATTCAGTCATCATTTAGTTGCTTCAAGAGAGAGCTGTGAGTTTTTACAGGTCTGCACAAACATCAATTAAACTATATTTAACACAAGCAACAACTTATGAATGCATGAATTGAAAGTGAATTTATTCAGCATATCAACAGAACAATAACAAAGGGTCTCTCAGATGTGTATATTAATGATTTAATATACAGCATACAGATGGAGACTGCCAAACAGGGTTTACACATAAAGAGTTTACTCAAGCACAACAACATCAGAGATGCCTCCAAGACCGACCCGCCTTACGTAACCGGCGCTCCGTAGCTCATCCACACAATTTATAATCCTCTGTTGCTATGGATACGGCTCTCCCAACGGGCCCCCCCTGTATTAATGAATCCAAGCACAGAGCTAACAAAATAAAATACAAAAATAATGGATGAATTATTAAAATAGATGCTTAAAGCAATGCAGAAACTGAAGGCAGAGCAGGTGTATTTGTATAAACACAGGAGAGTACAAATGATATTTCAGTGCAATAATATGGATGAATAGTTTAAAAATGTTGGATTAATGGTGAAAGTAACATGAAACCTAATGGGTCAATAGGTAAAAATGTATGTTCTCTCTTGGTATAGTTTGAAAATATGACCATGATCATCTCCATCAAGAATCAAATCCAAAATGTCAATTTGGTAACTTTCCTGAGTCTGGAGGTATGAGAGGAATCAGTGTGAGCAGAGCTGGTTAACACTCCATCGCAATGCAGATATATAGAAACTAGTTAGCATATCACAGTAATAAAGTCAGGTTAAACCAGCGAGTGGTGTTGCAGCTTCGCCTGTGGGTGGCTGCTGAGATGCACAATCAAATATAAAGTAATGAAAATAAAAGCAGATTGGATTAGAGGACGCTGTGGGGAAGGCATTTCATGTTGCAATGAGCAACAAATGGATAAAAGCCTTTGTTTCATTTTGCCACAAAACGCTAAATAATGGAAGGAATGTTAGTAACGTCGCAATACATCTCAGGCAGGAAAATGATTTCTGTCATTGGTAATACAATATGACATGTTGATGGGTATATTAATTCAGCCACATCGCTAGCATGGATGTACTTGTATTTTATTTTAATGTACAACTATAAACCTAAAGACTATACAGAAACATTCAAGCAATGTAATAATGATAATA